TGGCGGTACATACATACATGCATGCATGCATGTATGTATGTACCGCCACACACGTGCTGATATATTCTGGAAAATAAGTTTCTCAATCGTAACGCTTGGTCCTAGGTCTCTGGTGATATGAAAATTTTAAAATAATTAGGATATAACTGAGGTAGTCAGACCAGTCTGATTTATAGTATGACGCAGGCATTTTTAATTCAACTTGCTTTCGAAATCATAATTTCTGGAAAGGAGAAGAAAATATTTATTATAAAAGTTTACTAATTCAAACCACGCCAGCAAAACCTTCAAACCAAAAAATCCCAAGACCAAAAATTCCCTAGACCAAAAAAACCCTAGACCATAAAATCCCTAGACCAAAAAGTCCCTAGACCAAAAAATCCCTAGACCAAAAATCCTTAGACCGAAAATTCCGTCGAGTTCTATGGACTTACCATCTGCCGGATTGTTAACGCAGTCGTCTGTACAGGAGTCTCGATCGAGTGACGACGGGTTCGACTAATGATCCAATTATAATTACGACCATAATTATGTCTTTAATTACGACTATAATTATGACTATAATTATTATCGTCATCTTTGTTATTGTCATAAAAGTCTTACTTATAGTCAGAGATGGCAGGTGTCTTCGTTAGTGGATCAAGGTAGTCGTTAACTTTTGAAGGGGTGGAAAGTAGAAAAGAAAAATTTAATTATAATTATAATATATATAATATATATAATTATAAATATAAATTAAAAAATATATATATTATTATTATCATCGTAAATTTATAAAGCGCTTAAATAAAACAAAAATTTCTCAAAAGCACTACCCATAACAGTAAAATAATAAAATAAATGAATGGTTTAATCATTTCAAATAAATAAATAAATAGATATTATTTATAACAAAAATAAATGTGTTTTCAAATTCTTTTTAAAGTCATCAATCTTCAATCCAGGCGTTCTAAGCGAATTCGGCAGACCATTCCAAACAATTGGTCCCGACACGGCGATGTCTCTCGACGCAAACCGCAGACCAGTAGATGGCTGCAGAAGCAAGTTGCTCTTATCGGGTCTCAACTTTAGACCAGTTGATAGAGCTGGTTTCTTAGTTATTTTATTTGCCAGATATTCTGACAAGAGCCCATTCACAGCCTTGTACATCATTATACAGGTTTTATAGATGATTCTTTTTCTTACTGTGAGCCAATGCAGGCTCTTCAAAATGGACGTCACATGCTAGCATTTTCCGCCACCAACAACAATTTTTGCAGCTTTGTTCAAAATCGACTGGAAATCAGCAAGAGACCGATCAGGCAATCCTTGAAGCAAACTGTTACCATAATCGAATCTTGAATGTATAAATGCGTGTAATAATGTCTTTATCTTAGATTGAAGAAGAGACTTTCGAATGCCATATATGTAACTGGCAAAGCTGAAAAGAACACGATTTAGACATCATTTTTATCTGATTATTGAATGTCAAATTGGAATCGAAAATAAACCCCAAATTAGTTGTTTCTCGACAAAATTCTATTTCACTATTACCAATTTCGATGGAATTAATTTTAATTATTGACAGTCGTTGCCAGGTTCCTATAGGTAGAAACTGCGAGTTGTCTTGTCTTGATAATATACACGCATACATACATACATACATACATGCATACATACATACATATATACATACATACATAGATTAAAGCTGAACCCGGATATGATTATTACTTCCCTATAGTTCATACATACATACATACATACATACATACATACATACATACATACATACATACATACATACATACATACATACATACACACATACATACACAGACACACAAACAAAGGCAAGCACGCATGCATACATATAAACAAACATACAAACAAACATACGAACAAACAAACGAACAAACATACAAACAAACATACAAACAAACATACGAACACTCACACGTGCACAAGTACGAACGCACACAAACATACAAACAACCATGCAGATCGAAACACCAAAACGACCGACTTCTAGTGATCATATCAACGGCCCCCTCGAAATCTCTCTGCGCAATGCAAACGTCCAGGTCTTCAGGTAACTCGACGACCCAATCAACCTGCAGCAATTCGTCACCCGGCGATTTCATTGGCTGAGAGTTCGATTCTGTTAACCAATAAGAAAAAGGGGAAATGTTACTATAAATAGAGCAATTTCATTGGCTGAGAGTTCGATTCTGTTAACCAATAAGAAAAAGAGGAAATGTTACTATAAATAGAGCAATTTATTTCTATCAAAACTAACCGACAACATACACTAAGCAAGATCTAATAAAGAAAAGAGCCATTATACAATATATATACACACATAACGAACCATGTTGTTTATCGTATCTTGCTGACGATGACGTTGATGATGATGATGACGATGGCGACTTGATATCATTACTAGGAGCGCCGCTGGCAGTCATGGTAGTAGTAGTGGTAGTAGAGGTGAGGCCTTTTGGGTGGGTCTTCCTCTGTTTGGCCTCGTCCAGCATGTCTAACCAGCGCTGATGATGATGACGCGCGTGATGATGATGATGACGACGACGATGATGATGATGATGACGACGACGATGATGATGATGATGACGACGACGATGGTGATGATGACGATGATGATGATGATGATAATAGTGGCAAATATGACGATGATGAAGGTACAGATGATGATGATGATGACGATGATGAAAAAAGGAATGAATGAATGAATGGATGAATGAATGAATGAATATTCATTCATTCATTCATCTATGAGACATTATAAGGTATCTCGTCAAATTTTAATTTTCTTCATCAAACATCAGAATTACAGTCAGTATCATCATCACTAGCATCACCGTCATCATCATCATCATCACTGTCATCACCGTCGTCGTTATCAACATCATCATCATTTTCCCTAATTCCTAACTTTAACTTTGGGGGATGGGGCGGTGAAGAGGCGCGCGTCAGGGAACATGAGGACTTTGAAGGAGTTTTTAACATTACCTGAATCCTAATTGGGAAGTTAATGAATGAACGAATGAATGAACGAACGAATGAATGAACGAATGAATGAATGAATAAATAAATAAATGAATGAATGAATGAATGAATGAATGAATGAATGAATGAATGAATGAATGAATAAATGAATGAATGAATGAATGAAAAAGCAAACCACTCAAACATAAACAAAACAATGTCTAGACTAGAAATCAAAATGCCTAGACAGAAAAAAAACTATCAAGCCAACATATTACAAAACAAATATCAAACACATTAATAAATTCTGCTAATTAGCCTAGGCCAGTTAGGCAATCATAATTAAATTATAATTTATTCATAGAGACAACCTTGACATTTACAACAGCCAATCCGTCGAGCTCGTACAAAGTTTGATATTTATAGTACACTGGGCCTTTCCTAATTTAATTATAACTATATTTATATTATAATTATATTTATATTATAACTATATTTATATTATAACAATATTTATATAATTATATAATATTCACATATTTTATATTAACCAAATAATAATAATAAGTTAATCTTTAAAAGTTAATCTAAATTTAAAAGTGACTGTAAAGTAGTCGCAAATTACTGAAAACAAAAATGAAATAATAATAATAATAATAATGATGATGATGATAATAAAAATAATACCTTACAAATATTTAGTATCTTTGCCTAATCCCTAACCTTTCAGGAAGCCATGTTGTGATCATGAGTGAGTCATTCAAGAGGAAGAGATGGACCTTATGCATCTGACTGAGCGAGTCAACATCGACCTCGATGAGGTCCCCACCGAACAGTAGTTGTCTATCAGCTACGTCTGTTATAAACTACACAGAAAATATTATTAATTTTTATTATTATCAAATATTATTTGTTAAGTGTTATATATTATTAATAGCATGTGTGTGTGTGTGTGTGTGTGTGTGTGTGTGCGCGCGCGTGTGTAGGGATGGGCGAATTAAATTTATTCACTTGGTTATGCCTACTTACCACACATCCTTCGACTCTATCGAGCAGATGGGACAGGCCAACTTTCATCTTGAACTCTTCCACTTTGTTCGTTTTCTCCATGTCAATCTCTGAGTCGACTCAAGTAATAATATTAATAATAGCAATAATTATTGTTATTATTATTATTATAACAATCATCATCATTGCCACCACAATTATTACAATCATCATCATCACCATCACTATTATTATTATTATTATCATTATTATTATTATTATTATTACTATTATTACTTTTAGTTCCCCTTATGGACAGCTCCATTAAACTTGTCATTAAATTTTTCTGGTCTGTGAGAAGATGACTCAACTGGTACATCTCCCCTTCCAAGACTAAAAGTTAAGTTAAATTTTTAATCGTGAAAATTTTTTTAAAAGTTAATCTAAATTTAAAATTGACTGTTAATTAGCTGCAAATTACTGAGAAAAAATAAAAAAAAAAATCAATTTTTAAATTTTTAGAAAAAAAATTGTGAACTAAATAACCAAAAAAATACAGAAAAAAATATAAATCAATATAATAATACAAAAATAAATAAATAAATAAACAAATAAAAATAAAATAAATAAAAATAAATAAAAAAAAGCATGAAAAAATTTACTAGAAATTTCCTTTGCCGTCTCAATGAACTGAGAATAATGCTTGTAGACATTTTTTTTTAAGTTCACTGATGTCTCTTCCCTGAGTTGGTTGACCTGTTTCCTCAGGGCCAGTAGTTCCTCGATGTTATTTAAGTTGTTATTTGACGTCTGCTTCATGACAACTGTTGATGTTTTAGAATTTTTAAATACTTCATTTAGAAATATTATAATAAAAAAAAGTAATATGATTATTAATTATTAGTATAATAATCATCAAATGAATAATTGTTATATTATTTTTATTTATTTATTTATTATTTTTTGGCAATATTTTCGTTAATTAAAAAATTTTTAGTATATAAATCAAAACAAATCACATCTATTTATATTTTATATAAATTTATTTCCATTTAATTTTTAATAATATCAATTTAGAAAAGTTTTGTCGCAATTTTATTTTTTAACATTTCCACAACAAACATCAATGGATCTTTAATTCTTTTGGGAGGATTTTTAATAATTAGAAGAATTAGAAAAGATTAAAATTGAACATAAAATAGTTTTTAATAAACAAAAATTAATAAAATAAAATGTCATTTACAAGCTTCCGCGTTAAAATCTTGCTTTGACAGAACTCTTGCCAGACCATCTCCCATCTTAAATACTCTTCTCAAGTCAGAATTAGGCAAAATTAGACAGGGTTAGTGTTAGTTTATTTTACGCCTTCGTTTACTTTTAGTACTTTGAAAACTAAAAGTGGATTTATGTAACAAAAATTTGGCTGATATTTCGTGTATATTTCACGGCATTTGACTTGCTTGGATTACGAAATTGAATGGATTTTAACGAGGAAGCTATATGAAGTATTTACTTGACTTATTATGCTTAAAACATTGTAGTAATTCGATTTAAATTTATTTAATAGAATTATGTAATATTAAGTTATTTTTGTTAATTTGAATATAAAAATTGCTTTTAGTCCGTGAAGTCCGGTGGTTACTGAAGCCGTAGGTTGGCTTAATCGGATTTTTTTTCATGTATACAATACTATGAGATCAATCAATCAAATAATCAATCAATCAGTCAGTCAATCAATCAATCAATCAATCAATAAGGCTTTAAAGCCGTAGGTTGCTTTTCTTGATTGTATATGTGTGATTAATTGATTGATTGATTGATTGATTGATTGATTGATTGATTGATTGATTGATTGATTGATTGATTGATTGATTGATTGATTGATTGATTGATTGATTGATTGATTGATTGATTGATTGATTGATTGATTGATTGATTGATTGATTGATTGATTGATTGATTGATTGATTGATTGATCTTGGTACCTAAAGGTGTCCCACAAGGGTCTATTCTTGGACCCTTGCTTTTTATATTGTTTATTAATGATTTGTTCTCTATTAAAACCATATTTAAAATTCTTCTTTATGCTGATGATGCTAGCTTTTTCTATGCAACTAAATCACCTCTGAAGGATTCGGACTTACTTAATTATAACCTAAAACTTATTACTAACTGGTTTTATACCAATAAACTAAAAATTAATTATCAAAAATGTAATTATATGATTATTGGTCCGATATATTATTTTGATAATGATCTTTCAGATAGTTTATGTTTTAATGTTACTTGCAACTATTTTAAAGGTACAATTTTAGCCATATATCGACCTCCTGCTTCTTCCTTCGATGCTTTTTTAAGACATCTGGAATGTATTTTGGATAAGCTTAAACCTACAACGGATATTTACCTTGTTGGTGACATCAATGTTGACCTATCTAAATGCACTACTCAAAGTATGGCAATTAAAAATTTACTAGCAACTTACAATATTTCCAATATATCATAACGAAAGCCAAGCGCTTCAAGTTTGCGTAATAGAAAAGTGTGATCAATGAGATCAAAAGCTTTACTGAGATCAATAAACACGCCAATTGTAAGAAGTCCATCATTCATATTAGAAAGGGTGTTATGTACAAACTGAAGATTGGCTAATTCAGTTGATCTGCCAGATCGGAAGCCAAATTGGTTTTCCGATAGGAGATGAAAAGTTGTTATAAATTTGTGCATTCGAATATACATGAGTTTTTCTAATATCTTGGACAATGGAGACAATAAAGATATGGGCCGGTAGTTGTTTACACAACGTTTGTCACCTTTTTTATATATCATCGAAGATCCTTACCAATACTTTTGGTCCCTTAAATCTTCATTTGAATAACCATTTAATGGAGAGGTCTTACAGTACAAAATTTTTGGGTCTAATTATCTCAGATAATTTATCTTGGGCTGAACATATTAATACTATTTCTTCTAAATTAAGCAAAATTTTAGGTCTTCTTTATAAAATAAGATACAAACTTAATAAAACTAATTTAATATTGTTGTACAATGCATTTGTTTTTCCTCATCTATCATATGTAATC